GCTCGGATGGACTCGGTTGAATGAAACCGACCGCATCTGGGTTCCTATCAGCTCGAGACTGGTTTTCAATTTCGCCACTTATTTATCTTATTCAAGGCCACATACAGGCCAGTCCTGACCGACCCGCCTACGTACCATTTTATGAAATCCGTTACACAATGCCATATACAGCTGACATTTATTTCGGCCATGTTGATGTCCGACTATATTCCATTCTATACCGCCACATGCAGGCCAGTCCTCCCTGCATTTTTCTGATGCTATTTTTTGAGGGTTTTTTTTCTCCTGTTAAATTAATACACTCATTTTTAAATTTTGCTATGGAGTTTTTTTCCACCCCTCGTTTTTCATTTTGCTTACCGGACTTCTAATCTCAAAAACTATGTATTGCACTTTGTACAGATTTTGCCTACCTCGTCTAAAATTCGCATGTAAATTTATTTTTACTTGCTTTGATGGGACCCCGACGGGTCTTTAATAAAAATAATTGAATTGAATTGAATTAGTGAGACAGGATCCAACCCTTTGAAATCCATGCTGATGCACACTGAGCAAGTTGTTTTCTTCAAGATGCCGCATCAGCTCCGTTTTTGTTACCTTTTCCATTAGGTTGCAACAGATGCTTGCGAGAGTCACTGGTCTGAAAATATTTGGGGCTGTTCTTTCGCCACCTTTATATATGGGACTAATGTTGGCTTTCTTCCAGTCGGTAGGCAGAGCCCCGGCCTTCATCGAAGTTCTGAAGATAATAATTTTTTATTAAAATCCCGTCGGGGTCCCATCAAAGCGGATAACGGAGAGAGTTCATTCAGGACTTTTGCGAGCACGCCGTCCGGACCAGGCGATTTAGTGTTCTGTAGTTGACTCAGTGTTTTCCCTACTGTGTCTGTTGTGATGGCCACCGTAATAATTGTATTGTTTGATTTGACAATTGGGAGGTAAAATCTTTCATCAAAAACCGATTCCTCGGTATACACAGACGTGGAGAAATAGGATAACAGGTTTGCCTTATCTGAATTGTCAGACGACGTATTTACCTAGCGATCTTTTAGACAGGGCATGCAGTCCCGGTTGCGTTTCGCCTTATTCACGTATCCAAAGCGTTTTTTGGACTTTTGCGGGATATTTTTTAAGAATTTTCGGCACAAATTCTGCCCACTCCCTCCTCAATAGATTCCGACATACATTACTCTGTTTTTTAAAGTCAGCAAAATGCTCTGGTTGTTGACATCTGGCGTACTTTCTCTAAAGTCTCCTTTTCAATCTAAGGTTCTACTTTATTTATGACGTCATCCGCTCTGGTCGGTAAGTGCTCGGTTTCCTCTTAAGTGGGCAACAGTTCCCTACCAAGTGCTGCAGTACGTTCTTGAAGAAGAGCCAATCGCTTTCTGGGTCAGGTCATTGTGCTGCATTCCAGTTCATCTTCTGTAACATATTTTTCATTTGGGGATAATGGCCTTTCCATACATTTATTTACTCAGCAGTACGAATTTCGCGTACAGAAAAAATGGCTATACTCCCAAACAAGAACGCAGTGGGCAATCCGGCAAAGGGGCGTGTGCGAGTCCAATCCGGGAATGCAACTATCATCTATAGTGATGATGAGGTCCAAACAACTTGACTGCCGTTTATATTGGAATCGAGTGTCCATTTTAACGTGTTGGGTAAGGGACTCATCAGTAATCAATCAAATAAATTTCCGTGCGAAGGCGTTTTCTGATCGAGTGCAATGCATCAAAGCCCATTCGATGTCTGGACAGTTGAGATCGCCAAGTAGCATTTTATGTTTGCTTGGTCAAAGTTCATTAATCTCGGTGATGAGTCCAATGTCCGCATCTGTCCGCTGTCCCGGAGGTCTGTAAACTAGGACCCTTTGGAGTCTTGGATGGTTTGACACTTTCAAGTAACAACTGAGTATTTCGGACCAGTGTTCCTACACGGGGAAGGCTCAGCTCTGACGTAGTCGAAGACATCTCATATAACTTTCGTAATTCTCCATCCTTCGTTCGTTCTGGTTCATTCGAAGAAACTGAAAGCCTCCAGCATAACTTCCGCATCATTTATCTGCTCATTTAACCATGTTTCTGTTAAAACTATCAAGTCGGGTTGGGAATGGGTCACGGTGAGTTTTATTTCGTCCAATTTTTTTGGATATACTCTACGCATTTGGGTACATCATATTTATATTGTTCGGTTGTTAAGATCTCCGGAAATTGTTTGCTTATGCTTTCGACTGATAGTTACTACTGGATATTTCGCATAGCGCACCAAGTCCGCTAATCGATTTTGAATTTACTGAAGTGTGATGGAACTGAGTGCCGGTGCCTTTACCGTCAATGTCACTGGATGAGTCCGCAGAAAAAATGTGCTCTATTTTTACAATGTGGCTGTTTACTTTTTTCAAACTAACTTCGCCCTCGCTCCGACGTTTTCTCAGTTTCGTTACAAGCGTCCTTATTTTTCTCCGTTTGATTGGGTGATAGTTCGGCTGCGAAAACACTCCACGATGGTTGTATCGGAGCCTGGACTTTCGCGACAAGATGAGATCCACTTGCTTTTCGTTTCCCAAGACGACTTTCAGCAGTCTCGGTCGCAATTCCTCTGCGTTCCACTGTTCCCCTGCGTCATTCAGTAACTTTTGGAATGTCGGCAGATCATGTTTTTGCAGCGTATCCTGTCCGGGCCGTCAGGACATCATGCCACAAACGCGTGACAAGCGAACGATCAAGGTCATGACCCCTGTTCACACCTTCTTTGTGCTGATTGGCCACCCATCAGACTATGACAGTCCCCCTTGCCATATGCCCGGCCGTTTCCCCAAGCCTCCTTACTTGTGCTGTCTATCGTACTCAGTACACGCCCTATTTCCAATTACCCTTCAGTTTGGATACATAACAGTTTTAACCTCTCCTTTGGGGTGTCACCAGGAGCTTCAGGAACTCCTTGCACTACCACACAACGTAATCACCCGGGAAAAAACTGATGGTTGCATCCTATCCTCTTTTGCTGGCAGTAGATTGAGTCCCAGACTCTGGGACTACCTTTATGTCTGTGTCCAGATTAGTTGCTAAGTTGCTCGCATCGGTGATATATGTTGTAACGTGTTTATTTGGCTGCATCACATAACTTCTTGCATTATAGCTTGATACACATGTGAAGGGCAAGCTGATAACGCTCTTTCGTAGCGTGGGTGTCTATACGATTACTGCCTACCGTTTTTGGAGTGTCAACCGTTGTTTTATTTTGGTGCACGCTGCCTCTGTACGATCCATATTTGCCAAATTTAGAGAAATGCGAGAACCAGTCCCATCACCGTCTGTCTTCTTATTCCCGTGCATTTCGATTAAGTCGGACGATTTGTCTAACGACTTCGTTTGCTGTCTCTTGTTTCGCTGAACTTGAAGTCTATAACCTTTTTCCGGTTTCATGAGAGTTCTGTGGTCCGGCTCATTGATGATTTTCATGTCTTTTGTATCGCGTTCAGGAGGTTCAATTTTGCTATGCTTGAGGAGTGGTGCTATTATTTCAGTGAGGAGATCGAAATTTACTTCTAATTTCAAAACTCTGGTGGTGAGTTCTCGGCATCCATCACAGCGTGTCGACATTTCAGTATCTAATTTATTTGGGGCCGATTTCAGCAGTGAACTGCATTATTCAGGGTCGGCGGTCGGTGACCTATTACCCCCAGCTGAATGCAAGTTTAGTATTTCCGGTAGATTTTTATCACAGGAAAAGGAAAACGGTTTACAATTGACTGATGGATCGCCTTTTTCTGAGCATATATTAGTTTCCTGGACATTCATCTGTCCGGGCGTAGTTAGGAGCGCCAGTTCTCGCTTTAGAAGCCCCTGGTCCGAATACCCGACGCGGCCAACTTTTGTCGCATAGTAGGGTCATGAACATTAGCATTCCTCATGCTAGCAAGATCTCTTCGAGATGGCATAAAGTTATAATTGGAGACTTAAATTGGTAAGTAATTATTTTACTGAGCACAAAGCAAAACCTGTTTCCAAACGGAATTCAGTATAAAATGTCACTTGGAAGCAAATAACGAATCCGTCTTCGCAGACAAGTTGTTAGTGGTCTTCGCTTTAAGCTGATCTTCAAGCAATTCGCGGACCCAAGATTGACTTCGGTAGCGTGATATAGCCGTTATTCATGGAAATCTGAACTAAACTGAGCGAGATACTTCGTTGGGCTCCGGGTGATGGCTTCCTGAGAGCCTCAGTGAAAGATAAAGATATCGCTGTTAATAAGATCCGTGAAAGCAGGTTAATTGAACTTCTAAGCTGATTTCTCAACGAATGAAGGCGAAATTTCGAGTTCCAGGTGTATGCATAAGTGAAGAAGAAGAGTCCAGCACCGGAAGTGTTCCGGTGCTCGACTCTTCTTCTTCACTTATGATTTCTCAACTTATTTCGATGAGACGTAACTCTGGGCAGAGACGGGTGACCGAAATATGAAAATGAGGTAAGACGAGCAAAATCCAATCGAATTCAAACTATGGAAACATGGAAGTTTTCCTCTCTCCTATAAGCAATTGATGGGAGATGTAACCCTGTTCTTGAGGTCTTGCACATCATCAAAGTGCCCTTTCTAGGCTCTGGCTATCTCGCGTGCATATACTAAAATAGCATATGTAGAAGATAGGAACGTGAAGACTTTCTTGTTTTAAAAATTTTTGTCTTTCTTAATGTGGGGGGGGGGGGTCTTTTTCCGGAGAAAACTGCCTAAAATTTATGGGCGAGTGCAGAAGTATAGGAAGGCTAAAACGCTCAAAAAGTCAATATTTATGCCAACATTTGAGTAGTCAGGGTTACCTTTTCTCAAATACGTGATGGAACGTAGTTTTCCGAAGGTAATGTCGACGTTCTTGTTATTTTTAATAACAGTTGGCGTGTGCAGAAATCGACAGCTTGATTTTACTGGGCTGAAAACCAGACGGACAGAGAGAATATCTCACAGTCGATCACTTAGCCTCTGAGGACACTGTGGTGCGGATGGACATTATCGAGGACGGTCTTTACTTAGGTGGCCGTCCGAGAAATTGCGACTTGCCTAAGTTAAGGAAGGCTAAGATAAAATCAATCCTTACAGTTGACTTGAGTCCACTTGAAGATGCAGTTTTTAATTGTTATAAACGCCTTTACATCAAGTTGGCCGATGACCCCTCTCAAAACATACTGTCTGTGCTTGAGGAGGCGCTTCTTTTTGTCGAGGAAAACATACAGGAGGGCGCAGTTTTGGTACACTGGTAGGTTTTATTACTCCTTACAATATTCATCTATAGCCTTGCCGGCGTGTCCCGTAGTGCAACTATCGTCATCGCCTATATTATGCGGAAATACAGAATTCCCTATAATGAGGCCTTTTATCGAGTAACACGGATGCGTTCAGTATGGTAGGTTGCTTTTGAATTTTATTTTTAGCCCCAATTCAGGTTTCGTTAATCAACTCAAATTGTTCGAGAGCATGAATTTCACTGTGGACGAGTCTTCACTGCTGTATAAACAGTTTGCGAATAAAGTCGGTGCTTTTCAGATAGTCTCGCGTAGGTTCCTATTCCGGTTAATTTTTTTAGCACAAGTGGTTGGTCAAGCTCGTGTCACTACTATGGATACTCGTCTTTCTAACTCGATATATTATGCCTGTCGGAAATGCCGGTAGTATTTCCTATTTACGTTACACTTCTGTCAGGAAAGTACTCTTTCATTCCGATGCCCTGGTGCCCCATACTCTGAAGGATAGTTATTCCGAGAGGTAATTCTCACTTGCTAATTCTGACACTTATCAGCTGTAAGTCCGGTGAACTTTTCACAGAGAGTCTCGACTGGACATCTGGAGTTACCCATGAAATTGAGGGCAAAGTAAGAATTTGCATTTTTGATTAACTGTAAAATATTAGTTTATTTCGCAGTACTTTTATGCATCTCTAGCACTTTTGGCAAGTGTTTTTGATCTCGTAACCATTCCCAAATTTTAAATTTTGAATCTGGGTCTACGAGCATCTTGATGTTAATATTTGAGTTCACGTATTTGCACGAATTTTGATCTTCACAGTTACCAAACTCTGCTAGAAAGGTTTGTTTTATCTTAAGGAGGACTATATATGCTTAAGCAATTGTTTCTATTCTTTCGACTTTTGTATAAAATTAATTATGTCGTAAATGCCCTTTTGAGGTCGTTACTTTCCTACCTGTTTTAAGTCAGAATTTGCGATCTCCAGTCTTCTGAACTGCTCATTTGTTAGGAGACGCAATATCCAGTTATCAGCTTGTCTTGGCTACTATCCCTTACATTGGTAACTCCTTTACACTTCCTCCTCTTCGGTTATTAGACACTACGATATATCTTATTGGTCCGTGATTTTGTTCTTCATCACTTATACCTTTGTTAGAGATCACGTCGTCCATAGACTACCGAAAATAAACCCCTTTTAAAATTAGTTCATATTGACTTCACCACAGACTCCAAAAAAGCATTTGAATCAGGAAAGAGCGAGTATCAGTTAAATACAATCGCCAACGGATACAGAGCACACGAGCATGAAGTAGAGAACGTCGTCTCGACAAGCATCTTTCTATTTTTGCGACTTTTTAGGCACGAATAATGGGGTTTATGGCCTGCGGGATGCTAAGCATGTTTGGGAAAAAACAGTTATGTGCGGGACGCTTTGCTCTTGGCCGAACATAGAATAAGATGCTCGTTACCTGACAAAAGACCCATGATGCGTATTACTAGACAACTTTCCCAGTATGTTCGTTGTATAGCATGCTATCTTCAGTCATGTATTTTGCCTATGATTTATATGCGAATGCCGCATATTTTGTTGTAGTAAATTTGCCTTTCGAAACTGTCTCTATAACGCAATGTTTAGCTATAATTCTAACAGCTTGAACATTTTTGCAGACAATTCATAATGCAGCTGGAGACCAAGTTTACTTCTCCAGTTAGTGGAGTGGCAAATAATGTGGATGGTTAGAATTTTTTCAGTCTATGTCCAGCCAAATGATCCCATCTGAAAGTTTTTTCTGGAGTCCAGCAAAACAATTTGAAAGACGAACTGCTGTCACCATGTATTATTATAATCGTTGTTAACAACACTAGGTTTGCTAGTGAGGGAACGATGTATCTACTGCGTGGACTAGGGCTTCATTCTCAAATAATTTAGACGAACTGCTTGTAACTTTGATTAATCTTCATTGAGGGCGTCAAGTATCCTGTACAGTAGCTTCTGCTTCGCCGCATAGCAACACTCGTCTTCATTAAAAGAGTTCAAACTGTTTATGAAGCCTTTTTTCCACACCGAAAATGGGCTTGCTACTTGTAAATTAAACTTTCAGATGATTAGATTAATATCAGTTTCCCTCACAATTTAACTGTGGGACATCTTTTAAAATCTTAGGAAAATAGCGTAATGGCCATCTCTACGCATTTGCAGATTCGTTCCCCAGGCTTTCGGCTGAACAATACCTAAGACCGTTGTTTAAGGTTTGTTTCTAAATTAAACAACTATTCCAGAATATTGACAAGTCCGTCCCTCATCAAAGTAGAAATTGTTGCTACACGCATTAAAAATGCGGTTCATTTGTGTTGCAATACAAGGCCAAAGTAAAGAATCATACAACGGATTGGGAAAGTTCGTCCCGATCCATTAATAAAGTTAACCACATTTGAGACTTTGTGTTGTGAGGAATCCCAAATTCATCGTTTAACCCATATTTGCATGTTTTGTCCCACCACAGTCCCGAAGTGTTTCACTGTCTTTAAGTGGAAGTTTACTTATTTCTGCCTATTTGTCTGACTTAAACTTGTGACAGGACAGCACTGAAAGTTAGACCATTTAGAGCGCAAAGTTCGCTCTCAAGTACCTGCCATGACGTGACATTGTGTACAATTTTTGTAGTTGATAGCGAGGATGCTCAGATCGCCACGATCACCAAACCACGTCCCGATTAACAGGGGGAGACCGAAATCCCCAAATGAGGGGCGTTATCGTTCACAGAATGCCGAGTCGTAATCCGGTGGAGCATGGACGGCCATGCGCAAGTTGCAGTCGTCCAGACTACCGGGCCTGTGTGTCTGGGACCGCGCTAGCTAGACGGCCGGGGGGGGGGTAAGTTACCTTGACACAGCCGGTCGCCGTAATGATTAACGTCGTTTACTACAAGCTCTAGAGCCGCCGAACATCCTGTTCTCGAGAATGGAGTTTCCTTCGTGTCCAACACGCGTGTTGCCCGCGCTCGGCGGAGTCCCTGCGCCAGGTTAGCCGCTGCGCTCGCGTCCATCTCCAATCATGTTAGCCCTGTCACGATCAAGAGGGGTCGGTGCTAGGCGCCTCTCCCACCTTCCGATCCAATACCCACGTTTGGATTATCTCCTATTCTTAATTCTCTTCTCCTCTCTCCAATGCGTCTGTGGAGCTCAACGCCTACAATAACCACACACTTTACGAGATGCGTAAATTACTAGAATTAACGAAAACTTCTTCCGAAAAAGCTCTGGTTACATGAATTATTTCGTCAAATGACTGTCATCGAAGCCTCCTTACCGAACATTTTAACGCTATCGTTGACGTGCCATGTTGCCGCATGGCGATGCCATACGGCAATTAATCTTGCATTACCTTTTCAAAATTATTATACTTCTAAAGTGGGGCATAAATTCCTACTCTTTTGAGCCTAACTATGGTCCGTGTTCAAATTTTTTATCCAGCTTATGCATATGTACTGAGGGCGGCGTATCTCATGAAATGCTTACCTAAGTTCCAGATGTTTCCTATTTGAAAGGATTACTTGGAGGGGTTGTAATATTGATTATCGGGTGTTTCAGTCACGCCTGGACACCGGTTTCTTAATCCGTCCTTCCGTGCACCTGCAAAAATCACGATCGATACTAAATGACCACTTAAGTAGCACGAAGTTTTCCATTGATTTTCAATGCCCTTGTAGATCCAAACGAAGTCTTACATCTGGGAAATACTCTTTCTTCGGGTAGAAAATTTGAAGATGTGATTTACTACCAGCTGGGTAGAAGAAAGAGTATTCTTTTCACGATTTCTATAAAGTACTTCCGGGTTTATAAAGGCACCAAAAATTAATTAAAAAATTAATACTATTTAAGTGGCCACTTTTGCGGAGCGCGGAAAGAAGTACATTCTCAAACGGGGTGGGGAAGTGCCCTGGTTTCCCCGAAGTATCTTGGGATTATGCTGCAAAGTAATTATTACAACAACGCCCTGTCCGAGTAGCCCTTTCCAACTGAAATTGCATTTCAGAATTTTGGCGAGAATTTCATGAGATACACCACCTGCTTTAAAGGTTCGGACGTAGAAACTTGACCACCAGATACTTTGCACGAAAGTCGGCCATTTTTTGCATAATCTGCCCGAAACTTCCGTCTATTCATGAGATAGCAGGCAGGTTTCGGAAATCGCATTGCAGTTGGTTAAAAAATGAGAACTTCCTTCCGTCAGACCTCCTATGCCTGTCATTCCCTACACTTGGGTTGCATTACCGTACGTGTGGTGCCATTTTTTGCAATTTAAGTCCTCACATTTGGCCTCATTTAACCAAGTACGCCGTCGGAATTCGGCCTGCTGGAAGCACATCAGATCAGAACATTGAATAGTTCAGTCAACTCCATCATTGTAACAACTTTTAACTTTCAGTGGTCTCGACGGATGCAGTTGTTGCCGACTGGTTGCGATGCTTAACGTCTTTGTCCAACGCCGCACTGCCACAAGGTTATTAACCTTCTCAATGACCAGTCCCAGATGCGCCGACCTTACAGCTTGGCCCGACGGCGACATGCACACACACACACACACACACACACACACACACACACACACACACACACACACACACACACACACACACACACATACGCCGCATGCAGATGATTACCGCCGTCCATGTTCCACTTTAATATGCCACCCCTCGGCCAGTGCAACGCACAGGAGAGCTCGACTGTCGATTTCGACGATGTCCGCCGTGTGCTTCACAGCAGGGTGAGACCAAGGACGGTGACCTGCGTGTGAATTAGTCTGTTACAATAGTAGGCTTGCCAACCATCTACTGCACCCTCTCCTCCTCGTCCTCGTCCTTCTTCTTCTTCTTCTTCTCCTCCTCCTCCTCCTCCTACTCCTCGTCCTCCTCGTCCTCCTCGTCCTCGTCCTCCTTCTCCTCCCCCTCCTCCTCCTCCTCCTCCTCCTCCTCCTCCTCGTCCTCCTCCTCCTCCTCCTCCTCCTCCTTTTCCTCCACCACCCCGACCCGTTGTCAAGAGAGAGAGTAAATGACCGAAGACGGGAGAGGTCGCAGGTGGCTGGTGCGTCATAAACCCGCACCTAGACGTACCGACACTCCTGGTCCACAGCGCACGCTGACCAGGATTTAAAAAAAGTACGAGGTAGGGGGGGGGGACGGATTCCAATTAGTGCGCCGTGTGT